AAATCAACATTTGACGTTGAACTGACCTTGACCATTGATCTTGAGGTCATGGTCAATATCATATTCGGATACAGAATTTTTAAGTTAAGCAAATATAAACCCGTCAAAAAAGTGGTTCGTTTACGACACATTCTGGCACATTCAAAATTGCAATAAATTTGTTTTTGGGCGTTAAGTTTATGTAAAGTTAACGAGCACAAAAAATAGATTTCACAGCAAATTCTAACGTAATCAAGATTGCAAAATTTTAGTATATTGAAGAAAACTTCTTTATTTGTAGAAGTTTTGACCGCTTAAAGGGGAAGGTAACTGGAGAAAACTACCACCCAGTATATCGATTTGACTAAAGTTTTAAGAAATAATACGCCATAATAGTTCAAATAAACCTGCCAAATTTTAATGCTCTCGGTAAAAGGGTTATGAAGTTATTAATTAAATTAGTTTTACTTTTGTCAACTAATTGTCAATGGCCTGTAACTCCAAAACCAAAACAAATTTATTTTCAAACGTCAAACGTTGTCTGTGAAATTTGCGGACACCCTGTATTTAATTAGAGTACAACTTTATCAATTATTAATGAATGCAACTCCCATTAAATAAAGTAAATAATTTCAATAAAATATTTGCCGATTTTGTTTAAAATTGATTAGAATTAATATTAGAATTTAACATGCATGTTTCGAAAAAGATATTTTATTCGTTTAATTTTAGTTGATTAAAACCGTAAACCAAAATCTAGAAGAATTCTAATAATACTAGTCAGTGTAAGATTAATTTATGAAATGCATAAAAATTTAAAGTCCTTAATAATTATAGTTGATTATTCTAAAGAAAAAAATGTATTGAAATTAATATAACCTTGTTTGGTTTAATGTAATGAAAATTCTGTTGGAATGAAATATAATATTTCGTACTTTATTTAACCGAACAACTAAGTTACATTAAATTATAAAACTGTAGAAATTGTATACTTGTATGTATAAAATTCAGTGCAAAAACTTAGTAATTTTGTACTGCATACAGGGTGTTCCACCTAAGAGGGATTCTTCTGTAACTCTGTAACTGTAAAATTTATATAAAAAATGGTTTTAATAAATGTTGCCTGGAATCATGTGGGCCATGTAAATATTTTACAGGGTGTTACATTTCGCGTGGGCACTACATAACTGTTATTTTAAATGGAACACCCTGTGTATTATTGCATTTTTAAATTCCTTGTTTAATATTAGGTAGGATTTATTAAATGTACATGGTGTTTGCAACTTACCGTTTTCGAGATATTCGATTGTTTTTGAAAAAAAAAATCACCATTTCAGCTCTCTAAATGAGGCTAGATAGCATCTAAACCATTAAGAGGTAGAAACCTGTAATTTTCAGTTCGTTTTGCCATAAATTACTCAATCTTGTCATCTGTGAGCAAACCGAGTACGTTATTCAGACTCGGAAATACTGAAACCTACAATTAATTATTTATCATGGGTGAATGCAAAATTGAATGCCGTTTCGACTGATATAAGGTTGTCCATACTTATCTCTAACAGTTTTCCAGAAAAGTCAGGTTCTTTTCTAAAGTCCGAAAAAGTAGCTAAGTAACAGCGTCAAAAAGACCTTGCAAAACCACTTTTCCCTCACAATTTATCAGACTTGGGACTGACAGTGTCCATATTTACTGGAAACTTTGGATGGTGTAGGGCAAGTTGACGTAATATTTACAGATTTCCAAAAACCCTTCGATCATAATAAATCATTACATCTTACTGGCAAAGTTACAACGATATAATTTTTCAGATTCTTTGATAGTCTTTTGCAGTCGTATTTAGCAAATGGACATTCTATGGTCAGGTTTCAAAATTTTACCTCAAGCATTTTCTCCGTCTTCAGGGGTGCCTCAAGGCTCTAATTTGTGACCGCTTTTGGTCTTACTTTTTATTCATGATCTTCCGGATATTTTTTCATGTGAAAAACTGATGTTCGCAGATGATGTTAAATTATTCTCTGTAATAAATTCCCTTACAGACTGCGTCAGTCTAAAGCTCTGTGTGAATCGTATGTCATCATAGTGTGAATTAAATTGTTTGTCTCCTAACGACTCCAAATGTAAGGTAATGTCCTTCAGTCATAAAACTAATTTGGTTTTCTACGACTATAACATTGATGGATACATCCTTAGCCGTGTTGAACTGTTTAAGGATCTAGTCATAACTTTTGACAGCAGATTCACTTTCATCGATCACATTAATAATGTTATATCGAGTGCATTCCGGACTTACGGTTTTATTTACGGCAATTGTAGAGATTTTACAGATATCCGTACATTTAAAATCTTATTTTATTCCCTCGTCAGATCCAAAATGGAGTATGGTTCCATAACATGGTATCCAATGCACAACATACATCGGCAAAGGTTGGAGTTAGTTCAAAGGTGGTTTTTAAAATTTATGACATTTAGGTACGCAAGATGAATGGTTTTGGGCTAGAATCACTGGAAACGCGTTGTAATATTTCACTCATGCGATATTTATATAATCCTCTAAACAACAGAATTGATTGGTCTATTCTGTTAAGCAAAATTTACTTTCGTGTACCACGTGGTAATTCTAGACAGCAGCATTTGTTTCCCTGTAATGCGCCTAGGACTAATTTAAATCTCCGATTTATTTAATGTGCAATTTATATAATAAAATTGGAAATCATTGCGATATATTTAATAATAATTTAAATGTACTAGGTATATTAATTTGTTTCTCGTATAGTACAAGTTGTGTTTTATATTCATATACATATGTATATTGGTGTAATTATGTATGCTTAGTATTGGTTAGTACTGACAATTATTGTGTTAGATGTAGGTAGGTATTTATTCCTGTAATTGTGTTTAANCTATTATTATTATTATTATTATTAAACAAAAGTAACCCACTAACAACAACTAAAAACGAAACAAACTGAAACTCGGAACACAACAAGGAGAAGAATACTTAGAATGCTGATTTACATCAATTGCTCGAAGTGTCCTCCATTTTGATTAAAACGCACAAACAAATTCGGTTTTTTAAAGACTGTTCAATATTGGTCAGCATGTCTGGCGTAATTTCTTGAAATGCTTGAAATCTGGACACCTTGAAGGCCAAAGTTTCGTGTAAAAACTGACGAACCGCAGCGGTTGTGAGGTGGAGCAACTTCATATTGCATCCACATTCTTCGAACTGTAGCTAAAGGAATGTCGGCTAACAAATTTTCTAGTGTTTGTTAAAAAGTTAAACTGCTCCAGTTGATGCTGGTCAAAAAAGAATGGTCCAATTACATCGGTTCCCAAAATTGCTCCCCACACGTTCAAAGACCATCAGTGTTGGCTATGAGTTGTCCGGAATTGGTGAGGATTTACTGTCATAATGATGGCAATTCTGACGATTAACGAAACCATTTTTATGAAAAGTAGCCTCATCGAAGAACATGACCCGTTTAAAAAAATCATCATCTTGATTTATCATCTCAAGTGACTGATAAAACTCCAGTCTACGCTGAAAGTCTACTTCTAGTAACGCTTGGTGCAATTGGATGCGATAAGGATGATAACTGTGCTTTTGTAAAATCATATGTATCAACGTTGTGTGAATAATTTGTCGTACACTAATTTGCGGTTTTTCCTGAATACACCCCAGCACAAAAAATTCATTTTCCTCCGTAACTACAGTTTTACGGAGAATTTCGTTTAATATGTCGAATATTAACCTATACCATAACCCACTAGATGCAAGACTTTACGCCGTGATGTGGTCTGTCTGGATAGCGCTGTGCATAAATTCGTGATGCCAATAACGGATTTCTGTCGCACTCACCGAGGACAAAAACCATTTCGATCATTTCTTCCTGCATCAGCGACATTTTGAAAATGCATATCAAACAGTGCAATAAACATTGTTTACAAGGCCTTCTCGACGCTGTTACGTAGCTACTTTTTCGGACTTTAGAAAAGAACCTGATTTTTCTGGAAAACTGTTAGAAATAAGTATGGACAACCTTATATCAGTTGAAAGGACATTCAAATTTACTTTCACTTGTCCGTGACTATTAATATGGGTCATTCCATTTGAAAAGTTTTTTAACTCGTAAGATTATTAAATCTCAGTATTACCGAGTCTGAATAACGTATACGTTTTGCTCACAGATCACAAGATACAGGTTCGGAAAGTACCGATGGTCCATCTGCCGTTACGTGAGAGCGATAAAGTAAGACATAGAAATCCATGCAATAGAGAAGGATGGCTATAATGAAGGCGTCTCATAGTCACCGCCCGTTTCGCCCTTCCACAAATAAGATCCACTTCTTATTTGTGGAAGGGCGAAATGGGCGGTGACTATTAGACGCCTTCATTATAGCCATCTTTCTCTATCGCACGGATTTCTATGACTTACTTTATCGCTCTCACGTAACGGCAGATGGACCATCGGTACTTTCCGACCCTGTATATTAATTTATGCCAAAGCCGACTGTGAAAACTTCAGGTTTCTAACTCTTAACAGTTTAGATACTATCTAGCTTCCATTTAGAGAGCTGAAAATCGTGATTTTTTTCAAAACTGAATATCTCAAAAATGGGAAGTTTTAAACACCATGTGCACTTAATAAACTCTATCTAATATTAACCAAGGAATTCAAAAATGTAATAATATGCAAGGCGTTCCATTTAAAATAAAGTTATGCCCACGCGAAATAGAACACTCCAGAAAGCTAAAAATATTTTCCTTAAATGGCCCACATGATTTCAGACAACTTTTATTAAAGCCATTTTTTAATCAATTTTACAGTTACAGAGTTACAGAAGAATCCCTCCTAGGTCGAACACCCTGTAGGTACAAGCGGGAAGTTTTCTTATAAAAATGACAGTTCACTATTTTATAGTCTTTATAAAACATTTTGTATTAGCTGCTGTGGGCTATTGTGTTGCTTAATTTTGCCGAGTGAGAGTGAGAATCAGCCTTAATAGGTAATGGTTACAGGACAAAACATTCCTATGCCTCCAAGACCTTCAAGTGGACAGTCTGATGGAAATGGACCTACCCGCATAAGTCATTCTCCTGTGGTCACGCAGGGCAGCTACTCAACGTCGCATTCATCCGCTCACCCAACGCACGGTTACAAGGGCCATCCAAGTATGGTAGTAACAGGACCCGGAAACCAAATGTCTTTATACCAGTCTAATCAATACCCTCAAACCGGTTACCCACCTCGGCCTCCCAGCAATATACAGTATCCCGGTCAAGGATACGCTCCACCTAGTTCACAGCCAACACCTCCAAACAACATCTGCCCTCAGCAATTCTCCGGCCGGTCGATGCCTAATCACATGCAGAATTCCCAGTTCCCGTCTTATCAACAGTCTTGGTCGCCATCTGTTTCTACCGCATCCAAAGGAAATGGACCAAATCCTCCCACGCCAACACCGGGTTCGCAGTCTCCAAGTCCATCTCCTCGACCACCGCACTACCTCAAACACCATCTACAACATAAAATGGGTTTTCAGGGCATACCGAGTTCTGCACCGCCGAGCCCTAGTCCTCCTCAAAATTACCACATGGGTCCCCCATCTGGTCATCATCATTCCGGTATGGGCCCTCCTCCTTCTATGGGCCCACCGAACATGCCTCCATCTAGCAGTCCCCTCCTTCCCAATAACCACGCCCACGACGGGCCCATGCCGCCACCCAGTTCAACGCCAAATTCTCATACGCAAATGGTATCGGATATGATAGACAATGGTATCACGACCACTGCTCAAGCTGGTCTTAATACACACGTTACGGCTGCTTCAGGTGGATCCGTCACATCAGTTGTAACTACTGGTCCAGACGGTACACCTATCGATGAAGGTTCCCAGCAGTCCACGTTATCTAATGCTTCTGCTGGTAAGTTAATACGAGGTGTCATTGAAAGGTTTTCCTTTTAGTATACAAAATGATTTCAAGTTGGAACATTTCTTGTAACAGCGTATAGAACTGAAAAAGAGAAAATATTGTTTTAAATAACTTTTTACAAGAAACTCTGTAAAAGAGAAACAACCTTCCAAAATTCAATGCAATTTTAAGTCGGGTTCTGTCTTTCACTAAGCACAAAAATGAAAGCAATAAATTATGCGTAGGCTGACTTTAGTGCCAAAATAGTAGACAGTGATCGCTGCGGTCGGTAAGGTGCGCTGGGAATGCGATTCCATAGGCGTATCATTTAGAGTGTTCCTAAAATTGTTCAAATATAGAACAGTAAATAGTTATGTCTATTTTGGTAAAAATCACATTATCCTTGTAAAATCTATTAAAATCCAAAAAGTAGGTAATTAGTTTTTATTTATACTAAAGTATATAGTTAACATTTCTGCCCATGTAGGCACAGATGACCTACTACCACTTGCAAATTTTTTTCTCTTTTTTATTTTCGCTAACTAAATAAGTGAACTCTTCGAAAAGTCTACTTATGTAGTGTTGTAACCGTGAGATGACACAAAATCAATAAATCAACCAAAAGTACAAACACCAGCGACAAGATATTTGAATATTACCGATCGCTCTCTGCCTGTGTAGGGCGTATGATACTAATTGAGTAGCGGTGAGTATTGGTGTATCTAGCACTCTGCTGCAACTTGTTACATATTCATGAGGACCAATAACTTAGAAATCGGTCTATACCTGGTGGTTCTACTGGCGAAAGATCAAAGGTGTTTACCTAATATTGCAATGCTTGCTGAGGCAGATAGCCTACAGAGTAGTTGTTTTCCGCAGTATCATCAGTTTGAAATGCAAAATAAAATACATACTTATGATTATTACAGATCGCTGCTTACGATACAGAAGTATTTCTATATCTCTTAAATTGTATTATTTCGTACCTCATAAATTTGCAATCGAAGTGCAACACCGCGAGTTTTAGCCGTTTTATCCACTACATATTTCATATATTTGGCTTTTTCTTTTTTTGTGCAATTTCTAATAATTGGACTGTTTCGATATGTTTTCCATTCAACAATTTCATGATTTCTCCTTGTCATGCCTTCTCCCTGCCCCCGTGCAGTTGTTGGCAATTTTTATATTTGTCGATTATATTAAGGCGCATTATCCAAGACAATCACTGCACCAAGTTGCAAATCATTTTTTAAAAACTACACTTTCCATATCCTCATGGCAATCTTCTGCTCTTCACGACTCGAACACATGTAAACCATTATTAAAAAGTCTTCTAAAAATGATTTTCGTCTGATGTTTAACGCTTACTAAATCTACAGGTATTTTCTTCCATTTATCCATCCATTCGTCAAAATTTTCGTTTTCGTTTTATGACACTTTAATTTTTTCTAAATACTCTTCCCCATATTACAGCTTTTCTATTAGCATGCTTATCGATTTCGTTTGAAATAACGAAAATTCATTTCATATTTGAATTTTCTTTAATGTTGGAAGTGCAATTTTAAAATAAAATCCATTAATTTGCATACGGATAGCATATTTAATATCGTCAATTTCATTTTTTTTCTAGTCAGTCAGTTTTTGTTTCTTTTATACTTTCAAGGCTTTTTAACTCGCAATAAACAGAATTTTTATTGAATCTGTTAACTTCGATTGATTAGACTACCCTGATTTTAGCCATTAACACAAAACACAAAAAGAAAATGTGAAAATAATACTTCTTTCTCACTTGCTGTGCCACGCACTGACATATCATCTCCGCTGAAACGAGATTTCAAGAAGTCAAATCATGCAGGCGCGTTGTAACAATAAAACGTTTCAAGTGCGCGCGCGTAGGCTGAACATTATTACATTAAAATTACAATAATTATTAAAATTACAACATTAAACACACGTCTTACACACTGCATGCAAAACATTGCCGCAAATAACCCACTCAGCAAATGACATTTAGACCATTGAATGGGATTACCACGGATATTACAATAACAGCGATGAAAGCTCATACTATATTATGAACAATTTGTATCTAGCGCTCTCGCTATCAGTTGTCTGAATTAAGAGTCGCTTACACGATTATTTTTGTGCCCAAATTATTGTTGCAATGGCTCAAACTTATGACAATAGTGAACAAGTGATCAAGACTTTAAATTACGGGGAGTGTGGTCAGATCGTCTCGCCCTCTCCCTCTGTGGTTTGTAAAAGTGATTCAAAGTTTTCGATTCTAGATTCCTCCATCGTGTTTACTTCTATAAATGCCACATATGACAAACATTTACAATAATAATATTAACAAATCTTCGCATTCACCGTAGATTAACTACAAATCAGCATTTTAAATATTGTCATACTATGGCCCATTTTGTGACAATTATCACAAAATTAATCGAAATATGCTCATCAGTTTGTCTAATTACAACACTAAACTTAATTTGCAAATACAGACACGTTTAACTGTAAGCTGCAAAACGTAACACTGTTCTATGTCGAGAGCGGTTTGTGCAACTTACTGTAGACTCATGAATAACTAGTAAGGACAGGCCTTAAAGGTTGTAATTCTTTTAAATGTAAATGTGCTTCAAATCTAATGTAGTAAAAGGAAATTCCACTGTCAATGGCACCTTGTATAATAGTTGCCGCTAAGAACATATCTTACTTTAATTTATTTAGCATCAGGAGAGGATCCGCAATGTACAACACCTAAAGCAACTCGGAAAAATGATATGGGACACTATAGCCATCCTACAACACCTCAGAGTACTGTCCCATCACCTGGTGCAGCAAGTATAAATTCTATTCACGAGGATTACGGAGACCTTAGTCCGAGTTGGCCTCGTACCCCTGCGAGTCCGGTGAGTTTTTCAAATATTTCTCTTTTTTTGTATATTTGGTTGTAGTGCACGGCACCAATGGCAATATATGTGTAAAAAGTTTTTATATCAAATATAAAAAATAATTGAAGTTCATAATATTTATTAAATATATCATTTCCATGTTTATCCACAACACCATATACAGTGTTAGTCAAAAGTATGGAAACCCCCAAAAATCCGAGCGGGAAAATATTTTTGGGATAAATGGTGAGCACAAACGTTTCAGCATTTTTCCCGACGCATCCAACGGTAACCTTGACCTTGAGGTCAAGGTCATATCAAAATCAAGTCAGTTTTTTTAAATGGCGACCCTCCTTTGATTTTTACTGTAATTTATTTTTACCTACGGAATCAAAGGGATTGATAGTGACCTTGATCTTGCCGTTAAAAAATTGTGAGCCTTCTATTCCATCGTCGAAAATAAAAAATGACAGCCTGAATAATCACTTGACCTCTACCTGATCTTAACCATTGACCTTGAGGTCACGTTTAAGATCATAATAACATGTAGAATTTTACGCTCACTTATTTGTAGCGTCAAAATAAGAGGTCGGTGCTCCAGAAACCGATATGACCTTAACATGTTCTTTCGATTTTGACCTCAAGATGAAGGTCACTAAGGAATACCATCAGGTATCTACTCAAAGACTGTCACTCCCTCTGACTCCGTAGTTAAAAATAAAAAATTACAGTAAAAATCAACATTTGACCTTGACCATTCACCTTGAGGTCATTGTCATATTCGGATGCAGAATTTTCTGCTCATTCCATTTCCGGGATCGAAAAGGAGGGTCGCCATTTAAAAAAACCGACCTGATCTTGATATGACCTTGAATTTAAGGTCAAGAATACCGACGGATGCGCCGTGAAAAATGCTGAGACATTTGTCCTCACTATTTATCCCAAAATTGCTTTCCCGCTGAGATTTTTGGGGGTTTCCATGCTTTTGACTAACCCTGTATATTAATGTGTGAGTGCTACAAATATTTTCTAAATATTTTTTGTTCACTGAAGTAATTTGATTATACAGGGTCGGAAAGTCCCCATGGTTCATCGGCCGTTACGTGAGAGCGATAAAGTAAGTCATAGAAATCCGTGCGATAGAGAAAGATGGCTATAATGAAGGCGTCTAATAGTCACCGCCCATTTCGCCCTTCCACAAATAAGAAGTGGATCGTATTTGTGGAAGGGCGAAATGGGCGGTGACTATTAGACGCCTTCATTATAGCCATCTTTCTCTAGCGCACGGATTTCTATGACTTTCTTTATCGCTCTCACGTACGGCCGATGAACCATGGGGACTTTCCGACCCTGTATATGATAAAATTATTTTTAAAGTGTTGTGGGTCACATTATTCAAATATAATAGAGTATGTGTATTTTTCTTTTCTGATTGCTGATGTATTATTATTATGCAGGGTGTATGATAAAATATTTCGTAGCTTTGGCAAGGTGGGATTTTAAGAAGCATGACTTCAAGAATGCTTGTTTTTGAAGGAAAGTCTTCTCGAAAACGAACTTTTACAAATGCAATAGCTTGTAAAAGCACTTCAAAACGTTATACTCCAATATTTATATTTTGGTTTGCATTTAAAATATTTTGGAAGTTTAGTAAATGTACTGTTACTTTCATTTTTAAAGAGTTATTGCTGATTTGGCTTGTTCCCAAAATCCTTTGTTATTTATTGTATTTCCTGGATGTAAATATAAACAAACAGTTTACTGTTGAATGTTTTCTACAGGTTTTTATTTTAGTCAGCATAGAAATAAACTACTTACCCTTCAATCTATTTGCCTTGAATCTGATAGATGACAATTGACAATATTAAACTACGATAAAAAATTCAAATGATTTTGTAATAACTGTTCCCAGTTTAATGCAGAACTAAATAGTGGATATTTTGAGAAAAATGATCTGTACTGGTAGAAGGGACTGGTAGAACATAGAAAAAATAAAACGACACGTCCTATTGTCTTTTGTTTATGAAATTCATATTTTAAAAACACCCTTTATATACAGGACGTTGTTTACAAACATGGAGAGGATATTTTGAGGCGTAATAAATCGAGTTGTGAAAACTCAATTAGCAGAAATATTTTAGGCAAAATATATATTTTTTATTACCTACAGACTTATGACATTGACAGAACGAAATTTTATTGAAACCACCGATCTTACAATTAGTGATAGCTCTCTGCCTCTCTCTAGCCCCTGTTTGGTGCATATGTGAAAATTGCTGTACATGAAGATGTGCAGCTAACTCACAATTTCATCAACGTTTCCATATGTTACCACCATGTCCATTAATTCATTGTCACTATATTGCTGGACCATTTTGGTATGTGTTATTTGTACTTTATTAATGTGCACATCATAAGAACACTGACTGTTTTTTCGCAAAAATAATTCGATTTAAATTAAGGATCTAAAAAAAAATTATGACAAGCATTTGTTCATTAATGATTTTTACAATAAAAGGCATAATGAAAACTGATCGATGGTTACCTAAAATAAAAGTAAAACAAGGGGAGACATGCCATTTCAGCAACAATTATACACCTCTTTTTATGCAGTATGTAGGTCGGGGATGATTGCAGAGGTTCTCAATAAGGTTTAACGATTATTGAAAATACTTATTATTAATGCATTTTATCCGTTAAAAAATCTTCAATATTCTTCATACGTTTAGTGCACTAATCAACAACCATGACAAATTTAAAGCTTCACTTACTTAGTAATTATTATAAAGATAAGGTAAATTAAGACCAAATTTCTGCACGAGGTAGTTGCAATGTCTTAACAGCGTCAAACATACATATCATAGTAATATACAGGGTGATTCAGAACTTATCCAAAAAAAAAATTCTGGATGTACAGGGGACTCTTACAAATACAATTTCAAAAAGGGCAGTTCGAAAATGATTTAAAAATACACTTCTGCACGGCACTGGAAACTGGTCCACTGTAAAACCTGACCTCGCACAATGCGACCGTTACAGCGGCAGTGATAAAACAAACGGACAAATTCAACTGTTTTTGCCGCTATTATTATTAATTAATAAAATTAATTTGTGGTTTTAATTAATAAAATAATTTGACATACAATACAACAATTGTTCAAAATTTTGTCCTCCTACATGTAAACGCATTTGGTCCTGTTTTACTAAGTTTCTACGAACTAATACAAATGTTGTCCTGCTTCACCATAATAGAAATGTTGTCTTGCTCTTCACGATGAATTAAAACGATATCCATCAACTCCGAGTTGCTATACACACAAACCATTTTTGACACTAACTAGGTACTAAAAAGCTATTGTAAAAACTACCGCAACGACGATTGTATTGGGAGTCGCTTAGCCACGTGGCTTTCACGCGTATTGCGAATGACGCTAGAGACTACAGTTATCCAGCGATGTAACGTTTGAAAGTAGTACAACTTCAATAATTTTTTTCTCGGAAACTATAAGGATTTTACAAAAATTTTTTTTTACGATATTGACTCCATTTCTCATGCCGCATCTATTCCCAGTTTCTTTTGGATAAGTTGTGAATCACCTTGTATTACTTTTACTTCCAATTTATTGTGATAAAGCAAACTGTATTTTAATAAATGAGAATTTCCTTCAAAATCAATTTCAAGCGGCAGTTATAGTTTGACAAAATTTAAAATAAAAAATAAGTTAAACCTTGATAAGATATACAGGGTGGGCTAGAAATACCGGAATGGTAGGGTATCTGGGAATATTCAAGGGGTAGGGTAAAAGTAAAGCACTAGGGGTTTAGGATTTTGCCCTTGCTATCCGATGATGACCTTGACTTGGACCATGACTTTGAAGGTCATATCAAGATCACGATATTTTTTTTAAATGGAACCCCATAATGTTGACCCCGGAAATGGAGCGGAAAATTTTACGTTTGGATATGACCTTGAAATGACCATGAAGGTCAAATATCAAAGTCCCAAAGTGGATCAACAGTCCTGCCGGAATGGCAGGAAAAATGTTCTCCACACTAGTTCTAGGATTCTTGATGGGCACTAAACCGGTGACCTTGGATTAGACCTCCTCCCTGATCTCGAATTCCTTATCCTCCTGTAATTTCAAGGTCAAGTACGGCCATGGTCGGTTATTAGAGGTCACTAAAGGCAACAGTTGGTTACTGTTGGTCATTAGTGGTCACCAAAACTAAAAGGCGGTCATTGAAGTTCAACACTGGTCACCGAGGACAATAGACGGTCTTGGGTGGTCAGTAATAGTCATCGAGGGTAACAGAATAAACAACTTAACCTTGAAATGACCGGAGGATAAGGGATTTGAGGTCAGGGCGGAGGTCAAATCCAAGGTCACCGATTTAGTGCCCATCAAGATTCCTAGAACTATTGTGAAGAACATTTTTCCTGGTGGGTTATTCGGCGACTTTTTAATTTAATCTTGATTCTCAACCCCTAGTGCTTTACTTTTACCCTACCCCTTAAATACTCCCAGATACCCTATCATTCCGGTACTTTTGGCCCACCCTGTGTATCAATTTACAGTATATTAGTTCTTGTTTAAATGTTTTAATCACGGATGTTTTTTTCTGTTATGTAAACGTTTGTTATTGTCCACCACTTGCATCTAGTACCCACAACGTAAATAAAAACCACCCCTGAATATGTTAATTTTGAAGGTCATTTAAATATTTCAAAAGAACGCCAATGCAAATATATAATCCACGTATCATTTGATGTTAAGTTTTTATTTTGCTATTTAATAATTAAATGCCACTGACTTGGTAACAGAAACATTTTTTTAAACAGCAGGAAGGATTTTACGCCTATTCAATTGCTTATATAGTTTTTCTTTTTTCGAATATTTTGCAGTTTTAGTCAAGTGTATAATGCCTCTTTGTTATCTTCGAGAATTCCTTCTATTTTCGGACTAATTATTAAATTATAAAACATGTCTAATAAAGTAATTTTAAATTCGTTATCGCTTTTTTTTAAATTAATTTACACTATTCCGTGTGAATGTAAAGGTTTGCCCTCACTATGTTAATCGGTAATGCAGTGCGGCAAAAATGATCGCTAATGCAATGCCACGAAACCGATCGGCGTCTTCAAAATCGGCACGCGTATTCTCTGTATTTGCAGTAGTACGCAAGCACTATGAATGTGAGGCGAAAAGGCAACCCGAATAGAATCAATACGTTTATGACAATGGAGTTATGACAACAAATGCATTGCCTGATTATTTGTTTGCCTTGCCGATCGGCTTTGCCTGCCAGCATAGTGAAAACACATTTATAAACGGTACTTAAGTATTCATGTTCGTCTCATTCGGAGATTTCAAAATAGGCAATAATACGTCTGTTGAAACATTTCCTGAATGATTATTTCAGTGTGTGTTTATTTACTTCTTTTTTAATTTATGGTGTGGCAAAATACACAAAAAGGAAAAGAAAAACTATGAGACGAATGCTTTCATACAGGGTTAGTCAAAAGTATGGAAACCCCCAAAAATCTCAACGGGTAAGCATGTTTGGAATAAATGGTGAGGACATTTTCCACGACGCATCCGGTGGTAACCTTGACCTCGAGGTCAAGGTTCAAGGTCATATCAAGATCAAGTCTGTTTTTTTCAAATGGCGACTCTCCTTATCTACCCCGGAAATGGAAAGAGCATCCGAATATGACATTGACCGTTAGCTTAAGGTCAGTTCAAGATCAAATGTTGATTTTTACTGAAATTTTTTATTTTTAACTACGGAATCAAAAGGAGTGACAGTCTTTGAGATGGTATTCCTTAGTGATCTTGATCTTGAGGTCAATAGGACAGAATGTCAAGGTCATATCGGTTTTTGGAGTAGCGACCCCTTATTTCGACGCTAGAAATAAAAGAGCATAGAATTCTACATGTTATTATGATGTTAAAATGGTTAAGGTCAGGTAGAAGTCAAGCGATTATTTCGTCATTTTTTTTTCGACGATGGAATAGAAGGGACTCACAATTTTTCAGTGATCTCAAGATCAAGGTCACCAAGAAGTACCATCGGGTATCTACTCAAAGACTGTCACTCTGATTCCATAGTTAAAAATAAAAAATTACAGTAAAAAATCAACCTGACCTTGAGGTCACGGTCAATGTCATATTCGGATTCAGAATTTTCGGCTCTTTCCATTTCCGGGGTCGAAAAGAAGGGTCGCCATTTAAAAAAACGGACTTGATCTTGATATGGCCTTGACCTCAAAGTCAAGTTTACCGTCGGATGCGCCGTGGAAAATGCTGAGACTTTTATCCTCACTATTTATCCCAAAAATGCTTTCCCCCTGAGATTTTTGGGAGTTCTATACTTTTGACTAACCCTGTATAATATCAATTGCTTACAAATACGATATACTTCCAGTTTACATTGATCTGAGTAACGTAAAGTTTTATGTGTAATTATTGGTTTATTTATATACACCAATAAAATTTTTATTATCAAATCGACATTTTATATTCAGGAGTTATCCAGTAGTGGATTATGTCTTTGATATAAATATTAGTAAAGGTTTTTTAAATCTCATGGCTTGTACAACCACCATTTGTAGAATTTAGTTTTATAATAATGCTTTTGAGTTTTTCTGTGTTTATTTTTTTTGTGTTTACACTGAGCTAACTGGCGGGTATTTCCAGGTGTTTAACAGTCATGTGGCTCCTCCGGACACGTATCGCTCAAAGGTTTATATTAAATAATATTACTTAATGTCGTGCTAAAGAAGCTTGTAGCATGTATAGCATGTCCCTTAGTGCTTGTTACGCATTGTTCTAAATAGAGATGCAGTCTTTAATACTAAAACGGCTCAGTGCCATCATGGTAATTTTGGTAATTTTTGCATATTCAAATTTTCTGCAACGGTATTATTAACATTTTCATGAAAACATTCACGTTATATATACTCATAAAAAGTAGTTCATGAAATAAGTTGCATAAAAATGAATATTTTAATTATTGTACATGATTTAATGAGTAAAATTTCTAGTACGAATATGAAATAATTAATTTTTTTTTATAAATTTTTTCTAAAAATTTCAATGATTAAATTATTTTTCTTAAAAAATGGGTTAATAGTAGTAAAGAAAGTAGCTGAAAAAAGCAGTTTTTATTTTGAAAATACGGAAAGTTGCGGGATGCAGGAACATGTCCATACTTTTTCCAGATAAATTTTTTTGTTGTGGTAAAATTAATGGGATAATTTCTTTCAATTGCAAAGAAAATGGAACACAAAATAAACGTCACTATATGCCACGCACTTTAATAAGACATAGAAGTTTTGAAAATCAATGTTTTCGTTTTCAGTGTCATTAATATTTTAAAATTACTATTGTCTGTTTTAATTTGTTTTGTAATGTCGGTTTAAATTTGTTAGTTTCAGGCCAGAGATCATATAATGTTTATTTTATTATTACTTACTTCTTCTTTTTAGTATTTGTAGCCAACAAAGATCCAAATTTACAGGGTAATTAGACATATACTTTCACCGTATAATAAAATAATCGTGGTCTCATTAATTTTCTTTTGACGGTATTATTTTCCTTCTCCAAAATTTTTGCGGAACCCCGTTGAATTTTATGACCGTTTTAGTGTAGTTTAGTTTAGTGTACTCGTCCATTCTAATATTTACAAATTGTGAGGTTTCTCCAATATTTTTATTCTATTCACAATGTATGCTATTATTTAAATTTGCGCTTCTTTGAGAAAAAAACATGAACTATTATTAGTCGTCTGAAATATTGTTCTAATGTTTTTGTCTTTAATGTTTCGAATACAGGAATATATGGAATTTTTAATGAGAATGTAATTTCCTTTTGTTGTCTGATAATTCAATCCAATAATCATGAAAACTCGGAACAAAATTCTCAGGTACATCCTTTATGAATATCATACATTTTTTAAAATTTGATCTTTCAAAGAAATCAATTTGTCTATATGATAAAACATTTAAATCCACCTTTTCATATACCAATACGATAGTTCGAATTAAAATATAGATTGTGGTATGAAATGGTTGACTTTTTACTTTAAATATCGTAGTTTACTTAAAAATAAAATCATAAAAATACTTCTTAAAATTAGTGATATTTGACCATTCCGAAATCTTGTTGATAAATTTGCTTGTTTAATTAAAAATGTGAAGTTTTTATATAAAAACTTTGTAATTCCATTAAACGTAATAAATTAGTTCTATTTATCCATTATCATTTTCTGACTTATTTTTGATATTTAATGTTTTATCTACTGGTATATTAGTGAATACATTAACCACATGTAATCTCACCATTAAATGATTATTATTAAAATTACTTAAAGAAAGTTTACTAATTTTAATGTATGAATCAGAATTTCTAAATAAAAGTTTAATAATTTCCAATAAATATCTTGCGAATTTATTACAAGGAGAATTAATGGAATGGAATTGTTATTAAAGTAACATCATTAAAGTAACCTATGTTCATGGATTCTTGATAAACCATAAGTAGTGCGGTGTTTCACTATAGTGCCTATTTTTTATATTTATTTAATTTCCTATCGTTCCTTAAATTAGACATGTATGTATATGCTGTTTTGTCTAGAATAATGGCAGCATATTTATCAACTGTACTGTTAGTTTAGTTGATGAATCTGGCAACACTGAAGGAGTTGCTCATAAAAATGCTAAACCACCGACAATGACGGGCGCATTAGCGCTGGAACAGACTAAATTTTCTAAAAAATTATTACATCCGGTGCTGGATTTGAAGTTTTCGCTTAATGAAATGATCTATACTTGAATAACATTTGAGTGTTTCAGACTCGAGTGCAGAGACTGCCCATTGTTTTTTGAAAAAAGTTTTTGTTGCATGTTATGCAATAAAACAGTAAAATAAAATAAAACAAACTAACCATGAAACTTTTCTTTTGTAAATTTCAGTTTTTTTGCAATTCATACGTTGAAAACAAATGATAAATAATACTATACACCTCAACTAAATGGGAAACTTCTTAACTAGGTATGACAATAATATTGTCCTGGTCACAGACAGGTCATTCAACTCTTGAGAATATATCTATATATCTTAATAAACCAATATTACATTTTTTCACATTGATTTTTAAAAAATAACAAAATGAATGACATTTAAGGTGTACCCCACTATATAATGAAAATAATAATACCACACAATGACAGTTTAATTATATGTTTATGGTCTTAACATTGTGGAAATAACTCGTAAGCAAATTCTTATTATTTACCAATTCAGTATCAGTAATTGGCATATTTTTTATCTTTCCGATATAATTTCCGATGCTTCCTTGATTTGTGAACTGAAATAGATTCCTTATAAATTAAAAATCTGAAACTTGTAGAAAGATATTAATCTGCATTATAAATTGATGAAATTTGAGATACTGGGAATTTTTTAGTGATGCTGATTAACACTTGAAAATGAAACATAATTAAGTAGAAACAATATTATAAATTAATTATACTGATAATTGTAATGATTTTGCTAATTAATAAATAAAACAAAGAATCGGGATTCGATTTAGATTAAAAACTATGTATTGATGCAACTATTTTCGCTTATAAATACCAATTTAGGTATTCTTGGAACTAAAATATGAATTAAAATTACTTGATCTTCTAAATAATTTAAAAAATTACTGACATTTTTTTTTAACTCCTTATAGGATGTTTATAAAACATAACCCCAAACTGAAACATAAGACAGGAAATGTTATTGTAACTAAAAACTTTCCTATGTCGGTCCAAAGTCTTATAAAAAACTGATAGGACAGTAAAAATATATTGCTAAAGAAATTATTTTTTAATAACTCCAAAATAGTTGAAAAATTCCAGTGAAACTCAGGACAAAGTTTTAGACTTTTAGATTTTATGGAGGAAGTTTTTTTTCTCTTTCATAGTACAGGAAATGCAGGGGGTAAGAATTTTGTTTTCAGTTTGCACCATGTTTTTGAAACATCCATATATAAACTAAATCCATATACAGGGTGTGACTTTGAATGGGGGCCATATTTATATGGAAGCTACCTTTGACCTTTAGAAACATGTTCATTTGGTTTTCAAATTGCATTGTGAAAACTAAATTTTTAGCGTAACCTCAAAAACTATACGTGCTGACCACAAACACCAACCCAATTAGATTTGGCATGCATTGTTGTCTCATATCTCATCTTTATTGATTCGTATACATGTTTTATCGTAATTTTACACAGAAATTTAACAATGAAGACACACATGAACACACCGTACAAGGAATAAACAATAAAATAAATAGCTATGAGTTACGCCTACATTACACAAGGCTCATTTTAAATTTTACTACTAAATTTACTACTAAATTTACTTTACTAAATTAGACTTAAAGAAACAACACTGCACTATACGTATTGTATTTCAATTCCAATAAAAATGAAATTATCGATAAATTGAAAACTGAAATAAATGTAATAAAATGAAAGCTGTGATATATTCGGCCATTCTCAAATTAATCTTAGCCATTTGTTTTTTTGCCCACTTGATGCTCTTTGTAATATCACATGAGATGAATGTAGTTCACCTAAACTAGATAGTTGTCAGTGGACTTTGACACTGAGATTCACAAATTAGACAGTCATAAAAATTAAAAATATTTTTATGAAAAACTTGAAATGATTTAAAAAATTTACCAAAACTATTAGATTAATGAGTATTTTTAATTTTTATTATGTCCATTTTATAAAACGGCAAAAATTTCTTTAAAAATGCTCCTTGTTGAAGATACAAGGTGGCCAATTTTAAAATAAAATCTTGTTTCCCCAACTAATGTAAATTTGCTAATGAATTTGCGGTTTTTAAGAAACTGATTCAGACACAAAATTAGCATTTAAATAAAAAAATTGAGTTTGTCATGAAACATCAAAAAATATCAAGAGATATTTATTATTCAAAATTGAAAGCTTTGTTAGAAAAATAATGTCATTTTCACTTTTTCTTTAATGTCTGCTATTATACGAAAAGACTGTAATTTAGATTTAACTTATTTTAACACATTTGATGTAACCAACATATGTGAAGTATTATGAAATTAACCCATTTACCTTGTACTTTATGTAATTCTGTCAGTTCTGCCAATTGTAATTCAAATAATAGTATCAAAATGTTTAAAATTAATTAAAACAGCTTTTTAACAGAAGTTTCGTAGCTTTCGAAACATATGCGACTTGTGAATTATCAAAATTACCATACTAGCAATAGTTAAAAAATTGATTACTTCTCATCTCTAGCTGCGACATTGTATACGTGACCATTTATGATTTCCAGAAAACCGACAGCCTAAGCAAGCTCTATGAAATGGATGAGAGTCCAGAAAGAAAAGCTTGGTTAGACAAACTCTTAGCGTTTATGGATGATAGGAGGACCCCTATCACCACATGTCCCACAATATCAAAGAATCCCCTTGATCTGTTCCGCTTGTACATGTATGTAAAGGATCGTGGGGGCTTTATGGAGGTTTGTACTACTCTTTTGTGTGTGTCGCATTATTTTTAAACGTAACACCTTGCAGGTAACTAAAAATAAAACGTGGAAGGATATCGCTGGTATGTTAGGTATCGGTGCCTCGTCCTCTGCCGCTTACACACTTAGAAAGCACTATACTAAAAATTTGTTAGCGTATGAATGTCAATTTGATAGAGGTGGTATTGATCCTCAGCCTATTATTAACCAAGTTGAGGCCAGTTCGAAGAAGAAAGGTGCTAAGGCCACCTCAGTTCCATCCCCAGGTTCTTCCAATTCACAAGACTCCTTTCCGCCAGGGTCTGGTGGCACATCCATGGATGGGTATGGTGGATATGGTGGGTATTCGTCATCTGGTAATCCCGAATATCCTCCTCAAAGGCCCTCGTCCCAGTCAGCACCATCACCCCATGGAAGTAAGTAAGATAATTTACTTGAAAATCATTTATTTAACACGTAAGTTTTAATCATGGTTGGTTGGTTTATATCATGATATTAGGGTAGGTTTATCAAAAGAAATTTCAACTGGATTTAGTTAAATCATAGTTAAAACCTCTTTTACCCTTACCAGTATTTCATCCCATAAATTGACGAAGCAACTGGCAGTTTTTTATGTTGGTGCACGTAATACAAAACTGTGCAAATTTCTCAGCTTCAATAAATTGTCAACAAATTGGAGACAAACAGAATCTATTATAATTTATAGGCCTCTAACAAATTTTGGTTATCTCAATTTCGAAAGTTTTGACCATAGACCAGATAATCTGCACACATTGGCCTAGCAGTCGTGAACCAGTGATGGCAAAATGCAGGGAAGTGGAGTTTATGTGGTAAATAGAGCTATGTCAACTTGCAACAAGTTCGAATTGAGCATCATGAATCAAATACGAGTGTCATGATGAATCGTACAATAGATAAATTTAAGCTTAGGATTTAGAAATTGATTTCTCTTATTTTATATCATACATTCACCATACAAAATTAAACAAGACGGCCCTCGGGGTCCTTCCTTTATTCAAATGTCGTATTTTGAAGGCTATCTGTTCGCGCTTTCTATGTGAAATTTCCGCTTTAAAAAGAGTCCTCGCCGAAAATTGACTTTTTTCGGTGGGAGAGAGATGTCAGAAGTATATCCGATATTTAAACTGAGATGGAGACAAACGTCAGTGGAGATGTCAAAATAAATTTTGTCATTTGACGCGTTTTCCCGGACGATCGGGCCACGGTGAGTCGTTACATTGCGGTTAGGCATCGGTTCCGATCTTTTAGAGACGCAACTTTGGCGACAAAACTTGATTTGAACATTTTCATTTTTCTGTTTACATTCGCGGAGAAGCAACGTTTTAAATACCCCGTGCAGGCTCTACCTAGCGTTAGATCGCCGTAGCTCATTTTGTAAACTCGCGACTGCGAAGCGGTAGGTCTGGGGTTCGAATCGCGGACGGGGGGCGCATTTTCCTTTTTTTTTTTTTTGGAATATTTGGATATTATTTACAATGCACAGAGAACCCACCGCGGAGCGGTGCTCTAGTCGCGTGCAGCGAGGCCCGAGAGAAAGGTCAAGTCCGCGTCAGCGGACTTGCCTACCTTTCTAATTGATCTTTTAAATATTGTGATTACTTAAAATTTGTCGTACCAATTGAATTATCGTAACTGATTATATTTAGAAGCCTTTATGTATATAAAAAAAAATCATTTGAAATTATTTAGCAATTTTTTTATCTGACATCTAATAATACCACATTATTATACAACTAATAAGTACCTCGTGTCAAGTTCTATCAAAATTATTTCCCTTATTTTAAACCTTTTGTCATTTAAACAATGACATTCTAGCTAAAATTTCTGGTAATAAGTCTCACTCTCTGAGTTTGTTCATGTCCAACATTAGTGTATTAGCTTTCAAAACTCCCATAATCTCTTAAATGTTGAACCAGTCTTACAAACATTTTTTTATTCTGTACTTATAAGTCGGGGTAATCTATCGTCTTCTTTGCTCCCGACAAAAAGTAGACTCTTAACTATATCAGCTCCTTCTTGATTCGTATACAAATACATTCTTTTTAATATAACACAAAAATACACTGTTCAAATACACTTCACACACTAAAATAAAAATGTAACAGAATGAATTGTTTCGCGTAATTAAAATGGCAGTTCTATTCTTACCATCCCCTCATATACCAGGTGTGAAGTCAACTGGCAATGACGGCCTTTTAGCGGCTATATGAAATTTTAACAGAGCAGCAGAAGCTAACCTCTGTTAGCGTTTGAGAAGGATCGGATTCTGCTTAAATTTAAACTATTAATATGTCTAGCACCGATGGCTGCTGAAGGTGCTAAATAAAAAAAAGAAGAAACATACCGTATTTTGTTTAGAATTTTATAACTTTTTAATATTACATATTTTAACTTTTCTAAATGCGTCCCCATCTATTTTATGTAGTTAATTGTATACGTTGGATTTTTACTCGTCTAAAGATAGAAACTCAGTTTTTTTCTCGAAAGTATATATAGTAGTATATTGACTTCTATTAGAACAATTTTCTACTATACACATTTACTCATGGTTAAATTAGTAATAATTAATATAAATAAGGTTTACCACAAGTATCCATTTACAATTATGGCCTCTTGGACGCTATATGAATTACCGTTGCTGTAGCTTCCGCTTCGTTGTCATTCAGTCTATCTTGGCCTGTGGTTTTGACATATTTAAATGGTTATACTTAAATTAGACAGTATATTGTTGAGTCTTTAAAGACTTAATATATTATTACATCAACATTAATAAACATCGTTCTTATCTTAGTAATTAATTTTAAAAATTGGTAGCTTTATGTTTTGCCAATAAATTAATCAAGTCATTGTAACAAGTGAAATGGTACCAAAAATCGAGCGAATTATAGCAGTCTCTTGTACAATAGGGTGAAAAATTGTTAAATGTAAAATAGGTTTTCAACTTAATTTGATAAACCAACCTTTAACATGTGATGTAAATCAAAATAATTGATAATTTTAGCAAATAAAGACTAGAAATTACAGCTATGTATTGGAGACAATTATACTAATCATAATATGTGTAAAGAAAAATTAGTAGCCTTTTCAGTCTTCGAAGGTGTTAGATGCTTATGATATTTTATTGTTTATCTCTTCTTATGATAATATCTCTTGTTTCCCAACAGAACTCTAGGGCAAAACTTACAATAAGTTACATATGTAGAGTATGCTAGCTCTTATCGTTTACACCGTTTGCTAACTTCTACAGCAATGTCGTCTAATCGAGAAGAATTACCATCAAATGGTTCTCTTTAAGAGCTACTAGAAGCACCAGAATAATTGGATTGTATTCTTCATTATTAAATTAATAATTGCGTTCGCGTCGTTCCCGTGTTATAAAGGGTAGGGGTAGGGAGTACGCTATTTTGTAAAATTTTCTTTAAGGTGAACGTTTCAGGGGCGCAAAATATAAATACATATAATTCAATGTAATTTCAAAATAAAAAATTAAAATTACCACTAAAGTTACAAATAATAATGAAACATTATTGGAAAATAGAATGTTCAAAAGGAGGCGATTTGATGACTAAGATTATAGAAAATGATAGTTTAATTCTACGCCAAATCGACCACTTTTAACCCTGACCCCTTTCGATTTGGTTGAAACTTTTTTGTTGTTTTATACTCCATTGAAAACCTCTAACTTTTTCAAATATTGAGTTATCGGGATGTTTTTTTTTTCAAAATTTTTGTTTTAAATGTACTTTTTGAAAAAAAAATAGATCAAAATTATCTGGATCTATCTTCAGTTTTTTTTTTCAATTTTAGAAAAAAAATGAAGATTTCTCGATGATTACCACTTTTTATTTTTTTGTTTCTTATAAAAAAACGACATTTTTTATAAATCCTCAAAATTTTTCAGAATGGTGTTTTTTCGTTTTCTATTTTTTTTATTGATTGAAAAAAAAATCTTCAAATTTAGCTTATTTCACATAACACCATTTTGAAAATTTTTGAAAATGTATATAGAATTGAAAGTGGTAAACATGAAAAAAATTTCGATTTTTTTAAGTTAAGAAAAAAAATAGATCGTTTTGATTAATTTTTTTTGTATTTCTTTTCGAAAACTACATCCAAAAACAAAGAGAATTTAAAAAAAAAGTTGTTATTTGGTCCATTTTTGGACGAACAGTGGGCTTTAAAAAAAAGATGCAACACACTTGAACTCAAAGAAATCATTTTGAAACCATCCCCTTTTTACTTTTTGAAATTGTCATCAATCGCTGCATAGAATAAATTTTTTCAATTTTGGAATTCTATATACATTTTCAAAAATTTTCAAATTGGTGTTATTGGAAATTAGCTAAATTTGAAGACATTTTTCAATCGATAAAAAAATAGAAAACGAAAAAACCACTGTCAGTTTTTTATAAGAAAAAAAATGTCCGTTTTTTTATAAGAAAAAAATTTTTTTCAAAAAGGGTAATCGAGAAATTTTCGTTTTTTTTTTCGAAAATTGAAAAAAAAAAACGGTGAAGATAGATCCAGATAATTTTGATCTATTTTTTAGTACTTTTAAAAACAAAAATTTTGAAAAAAAAAACGTCCCAATAACTCAATTTTTGAAAAAGTTATGGCTATTTAAAAAAATATGTTTTGTTAAAAAATTCATCTTTTTTTGAGTTGGGTGAAAAATTTTGAAAAATTCTCAGAGGTTTTCAATGGGGTAGAAAACAATAAAAAAGTTTCAGCCAAATCGAAAGGGGTCAGGATTAAAAGTAGTTGATTTGACGTGGAATGCCCCCATATGGAATTTCAACGTAAACCTCTACAAATTAATTTATCACGTTTAAAATAAAAAATGAAGTAATCGAAATCAATCCTCACCTAAATTCAGTATATTTTAATGAAATCAAATAAAGTGTCAGTAATTTTGCAGAAAATGTGTCGGCCCGTTTTTTGTTGGTTGTTGTTAGTAGTTTTCCGTTGCCCTTGGAAATAGCCAGGTGTTATAATATAAAGTTATTGTTATTCAGTAACTCTAAATATTTAAAATTTTTTGACGAAAACATTCTTTTGTGGGAAATGCACCCTTAAATTATAACAGTTTCATATTTTAAATGATGTAGGCCGATTTGTTTGTTTTTTTTTTCAACTTGAAGTAGGTACTATTTGACTACATAATTTTTATTTCTATCGTAACTTCATGGCTTACATGTTCAATATATTGGCTAATGATTCACCTTAACAGTATTTATTCCAAGAAAAAAGTAAAGTAAATATTAAAAAAATAATAATAAAATTACACGTCATATAATATCTTAATAATTGAAAATTATTTATTTTCTGTTAAAAAAGTCCTTTGTTAATTTACATAGATTGTTAAACAATATAATAGAAAACTAAAAATGTTATTAAATTATGTTTAAAGATTTTAAACAATATTTTTGACCAGTATAATAACAATTGTATGAGAAAATTTGTATAATCCATGTTTTTGACACTGTTATCTGAATATGGGATAAAACTCGAAACGATCGTTATAAACAATAAACAATATATGGATGAAAAATAGTTTTACAAACTAAGTTTATTTTGAACAGTATACCAGAAAATAAATAGTTTTCAAGAATTAAGTATATGGTCAGAAAATTATATATATTTAGGAATATCTTAATAGTAATAATAACGAAGAAATAAATCATATAGTTTTCAACATGTTTTAAATACTTCTTTATATGTTCATTACATTAATAAGGATTTTCTGCATTGCATATAAAAACTGTAAATATTGTCAGCAGTTATTTGTTTGTGGTATTTTTCAGTTAATTGGGTATATCTACCACACTGAAGTGACATTTTTTTAAATAAATAACTAACCTCTTGCCAAAAAGATCAGTCGAGAGACTGATCCTATAAAATTAGATTGATCTTTTTAGTATCTTATTAAACAAAAACAGTAAAACAATGGATATTAGTAACTAACCAAATTTTTATCACTATTCAGAGACCATCTTTCATTACAAACTTTAACCTAAATGTCCTAAAATGTGACCTAAAGTGACCTAAAATGTCTCAATATGACAAATTATTAGTTTTACATCGAGTACTATATCATCTAAAATATGAAAGTGTTAGAGTGAAGAACTAAATTAAAAATGTTTAAAATTGAACAGATAAGAAAAATAGAAATTAAAAAAAAACTGATTTTTATCAACCCTAATTTTTATAAAATCAACATTTTAAAATTTATCTACCTGTATTTTATATTCTATGAATTTAAACACTTTTTTATATGCCATTCTTTCAACAACAGTAAAAACATTGTAGTTTTTATTCCCATCAGGTTTTTAGAACCTGAAGACCATTTACTTGTTTACAGTTGTGGTTAATGTTATCCATTGAACAAGTTTTATTATAATTGACAAATGTATCAGTTGGATTGGAACAATCCAGATTATTATTTTTATTCATTTTATGAAGGTAATTATGTAAACTTATTTCATTAGCTTAGTAGTAAAAATATATATTTACTTTGGTAACTACCTACTATTTATTTTAGAATCTGTTTAATTGTCAACTCATGAATAAACTATTTTTTATGTCAAGATATGTACCTGTATATTGTGGTTCGATTTTATTTTTAGGTTAGTTTATGATATATATTATATTTCCTTAAAAGACTGCTTTCTTCAGATATTTTACAAATGGAAGATTCTATTGCTGAACTTTTACAGAATATTTTTAATTGTCAAAAGCATTATTTAAATATAGGTACGTTCAATTTGTCAGTTTTATCGGTGTCATAGAAAAGAGGACGAGAGATGCATTTATTAAGACAATAATTGATACTCTAATGACAAGTACAAAATGGATTGAGTTCTTCTTGTGAATAGTTCTTAATAAAAAGGATTTACTAAAAATATTCTTAATAAATAATTTCTATTTTAAGAAATTTTAAGAATGTCGGTTGAAATGTATTCCTCTGCTAATGATAATAATAAGAAAATATCCTATATAAATGTTGCATCGAATAAGTTACTGCGTGCATTATTTTCTATTACACAGGGCGTCCCATTCTAAGCATTACTTTTCTTAATATTTACAAATAGAACATTATATTATAGCATTTTTTAATTTCTCATAAGACCTCCTTCTATGTTGTACCTGTTTGATGTTATTTGACAATGGGACACACAAATAAATATGTTTTATTCGGAGATGGTCAAATATAAGAGAAATCAGAAACATTATTTTATTGTAAAATGGCTGATATTTTGAAAAATAATATTTGTTTAATTTTGTCAGTGCCACATCAATCTTTTTTATAAAGCAGCCACCCCCCCCTTGTCTGGCATTGTTAAAGTTAATGAATTGGGAAAAAAAAAGTAACTTTACTATCAAAACCGTTATAAATCTCTATTTATTCCTAAAGTTTTATGAAGAACTCTCTTTTAGAGAAGTTGTAGTATTTTTTAAATTAATAAAAATAGGGGTCAATAATATTTTATACAATTTTTGACAATTATTATCTTTTGCACTTAACTTTCACTTTTAAGGAATAATAGAAAATACAAATACTTTCTTGGCAACAAAGAAACATTTACCGATTTTTGACCAAATAAATTGATAAGGAGTTAGTAAATTTTGTATCCTAGCTTCATTAAATTATGCAACTGAAGAAAATAGAACCAGTTCTGATTTATTAACGTATTTTGGGGATTACATAAAAAAATTTTGGTTACCGACAATTTTAACCGTTTATTTATTTCGCAGATTTGTATTATGTAGCATCCTTAAGAACTTTGTTTTAAATTCAAATGTTGATATGATTTAAAATGTTTTTCCTATCTTAAGCCATTTTTATTATAAATAAAATAACTTCATGTAAAAAATTTTTTAGAAATAACGATAGATTTTTTTACATGTTGCCAATAAATTGATCAGTTTATTGTAACATATAAAGTAGTATAGTTAATTGTGACAATTTCCTGATAATTCTAAACGCATTCTACAAATTATTAGGTGAATAAATGATAAATATAAATAACAATTTTAGTAGTGCATATTTATTACTTCATTCATAATAATAGTTGTAGGTTGTAGTCTAAAAATAGATAAATCGTCTTCATCCCAAATATAAAACTAATTATCCATGTAGTGCTCTTATTACAAAATTTTACAAAACCTATTTTTTGCTTGAAATTATTTTGACTTGTATTCTATCTTCAGCTTGACTATTTATAATGGCCATGTGATGTTTTACTACTGAAAGAAATTAAATACCTGGATCTTGATGGAACTTTCTCCCTTGCCTAGTTATAAAATATAGATTTTTTAAAACGGCCAGAAATTAACCAAGCAAATTATTATTATTATATTTGAGAAGAAAAAAAAAATCTTACCTCAAAAAATATTGAAACAAATTATTATTATTGGGATAAAATGCCAATTCCTCAAGGTGGTGGACAGAGTAAATATTTATTTTGATCCTTTTCACATGTTAAACTTATAAGATGTGAAATTTACTATAAAAACAAATTAACTTTAATATTTGATGAAATGGTTTAGGCATTGTAATCTACTTTCCCAATTTGGAATATTTGCGTATTGTTAAGCAATTTAGTTTTATAATTTTTTGTGTGTCGGAGGTGCTAATTTAATAATTTATTTTCCGCAAGGTTCAGGAGGGGCTAATCATTTAAACAGTGCAACACCTGGAGGTCCCAGCCCTGCAGGCGGGGCTGCTGACAATGTAAGCGTTTCCAACCCCTTCGATGACGTGTCTCCGAGTCCACCACCACGGGGCGGTCCTTTCCCAGGTGGTCCACATCCTCCTTATTCCGCAGGTACTCCACCTCGCCCGCCAGGACAGAATTTCCAACCTGGATATCAGTATCCTGGTCCTGGGCCAGGAACTACTGCCCCTACAGATCAGTATTCTGCATATCCGAATAATTCAGGTTATCCTCCAGCCGTTAGACCAGTATATCCTCCGTACACAGGTGATTCAGCAGCACCACCTCCAAGCCCTAACAACACTCAAGGACCGCCAACCTCTACGGCGCAGGATCCTTACAACAGGTATAATTCCAACCCCGGAGCTAGTTACAATCCGAGGCCAACCTATGGACAATCTCCAACTGGTACCGGACCTCCAACATCACAACCAGCTGGCCCCGGAAACTACCCACCGCATCAAGAGTATTATCGTCCAGAGCAAGTACAAGTAAGTCGAAATTAAAAAAAAAAAATTCTATAGCTTTAAAAATGCTCGAGAGTTAACAAAAAGGCTACATGTAATCAGTAATATAAGATGGATTCACATGGATGGATAATTCACATTTACCAGTTATAAAAACACTTCGATCATTAAAATGTAGAAAAACCAATGTGATTTCAAAGCTAGAAATTTTTAAAAGTATAAACAATAATTATACATCATTGAAATATAAATCCTAACGAGTTGTTAAAATTTATTTTGCCAAATAGTGGTCATTTTATACTTATATACAGGGTGTCCCAGTACTTGATACAAAAAAGTCGAGTACAAATAGATGAGGTCAAAATAATATCAGTTCTTCATATAAATTTTTTTCATACGGGCCTTCGTTGACAAGTTACAGGCTCTCAAGGGTGAAAATTAAAAAGTTATTTTTATTTACAATCTCTAAACTATTAACTTCAGCATGATGCAAATTTGCTGATCAATAACACATGCATACAGTTTGTTATTAATGTCGTTATTGAAACTTCATTATGCTCAGAACGCCAGGTAAGGACTATGCCCAATGGTTAACAACTCAGAAATTTTGCATAGATGCCGATCGTAATCTGCCTACATCAAAAATAAGTTCCCTAAAGAATTTGCCAACGATAATACCCTCTTGGTTCAACTCAATAAAATTAACAGTTTAGGAAATATTTGTGATTTTATGTCACAGTGCACATTGTGTTCCATCATGATTGATAGAGGTAGCGCCATCTAGTACTAGAAATGTAAAAGAGCAGTTTCCATATATGTGGAATCAGTCTGTAAGCCTTGGTCCTATCGAGCGAATAAATTATCCAGTACAATATATGTGACGTGTTGATGTAAACATACCAAGCCAGCATTAGCAAGAAAAGTCTATAGCACAGATGTTGGGTTAAGTTGTCGAGTTCAGCGGCTACACACAATGCACAGCACTGCACGCATTCCGGGATCCTGCACTTGCAAACAGTGCAGCAGTATCAACAAAAAATTACAAGTCTACATGTCAATTCGAGAACGAGGAGGAAATCATCTCTCAAGAAACAAGTCGAGATTCCATTCCTATCCCACAAGTAAGATCAGTCCAACTCCTATTTCAAGCTATTTAACTCTCTATTTGACTATTGCTAAAACTACTTCAAATTTTAAGCATAAACAATTTAAATTACAATGGAAAATCTGCTAAAACCGCCTTAAGCGTGACAATAAAATACGGCAAATGACTAGATTACCAGAATATTATGACAGTATAGATTTACAAAATTTAATAACTTCAGCTATTACACAAAATACAGATTAATTAAATTTGAATCTATATACGATGAATTTGCAACGAGTTGCAAACCGAGATTGAATTTAATCTAGATAATTGCGAAGAAATAGACGTACAAACTATGGCAAATGAAACAAAAATTAGAATAGATTTTGAAAATTCCTACTATAATTTGATTATGTGTATTGAAGACACTGTAACTTTACAATAAGTAAAATAATGACAATGAGGTAAATGAAACTATACTCTGCGGCCGAAATTATAGAGAATGACTAATCGCTAGCTTTTGAACTAGTAAGGGGGATGAAGCGTGCAGGGAACGAAAATCCATTGGCGTGTCTGCGTAAAATGCAACGAGATATAGAAAATATTGAAAAAAGATAATAAAACATAACATCTAATATTTTTTACGGTTTGCTATAACCGGCACTTTGATCCATTTTAATTATTACAGCATTTTAAAACGTCCCAGTTGTGTTTTTAATTTATAAATTTATTATAGCCATGGAATTAGACACCTCGTCTACGCTTATGCTATGACATTTCTCAGGACTCGTAAATCAAGTCCGTTTATACCCAACTAAAAAAGCATTTCCCTATTCCCTACCAAGTGCAAAAGACAGAGATAGAATATAGATCGACGTTCAGTGTAACTCAGTCTATAGATGATTATAGATTCTATCGATGTGCGTAGCGAGCGGCACAAAGATAAATAATATTAAACCGTATAAAAATCATTTTATATTTTATACGCATTACGGTAATAGTGTTTTTATATTATGTCTGAATCACTCTTTATAATTTCAACCGCGGAGTATAGTAGTTCAAGTGAAACTAGTAGTTCAAGTGTAGCTTCAAAATTCAGATGTTTGTTCCATCTGTCAAATAAAATTACCGACTTTTAATGGATCATATAATTGTTGGTTAGAAGGCAGATATTCGTTTATTGCCTTGGTCAACAACAATAATTCGATAAGTGAAATACAGAAATTTTACTATTTGTGATCGTCACTTGAGGGTGAAGCAGCGCGCATAATAGAGTCAATAGAGTTTCAGCAATAGCATGGGACTTGCTCAAAGAACATTTTGAAAACAAACAATTACTAATTCACAATTATATTTTATTTATATTATATACATTCTTTGATGCACCGGTATTAATAAAAGAATCACATTCAGAACATACAAAGTTATTTGACACATTCACTAGAAGTTTACAACTATTGTAAAGCAAATCGTACCATTTGTCAATGTAACGAATTTAAAAAATTAGACATGTATGCACGATTTAAGGGGACCGACAGACTTAAATTGTGCCAAAATTGTCTACAACCAGGACATACTGTACAAGAATGTACAAAATTGCAGAAAGTGCAAGACGAAACATAATACAATGTTACATATTAACGAGGAAAACGTATGTGACGAAGAAATTCTATTATCGACAACATTAGTAAACGTGACAGACCATTTGAGAAATATTCATACAGCTAGAGTTCTACTTGATCAGGGTTCTCAAAACCACTTTATAACAACATCATTCTGTAATAAATTACATTTAAAACAGATACCAGTTGATTGCGCTATAACGGGCGTAGGAAAAGAGGTTTCGGAAGCACAGTGTGAAACTTCTGTAACAATTACATCTCGAATCAATAATTTTAGTATTAATATTTAGTGTTTAGTACTTTCTACGATTACGCAACCTTTACCATTAAGAGTCATTTAATCAATCCATATTAGATCTACCAAGAAGCATTGAATTAGCCGATCCAGGTTTTAATATAAGCAGCAATATAGACGTTCTATTAGGCATTAACGCATTTTATAAGTTATTATGTATGAAACAGATTTGCAAGCTTGAACATCCAGTGCTCCAAAAAACTAAATTGGGTTGGGTAGTCAGCGGTATTGTTAATTTCTTGAATAATTAATGCTTCCAGTTCTTCGATGTCGTGCACTGCTGTTTTAAAAATATATTTCAGATATTCAAACAAAAAATAATCTGAAGGAGTTAGATCCGGTGAACTCCATATAGGGGCAGATGGGCAATTCTGAGGCGGCCCGAAACATTATTTTTTCAAGCGGCCCACGGTTATACTGATTCCACCACCTATTATAACAAATAAAATTCGTGTAAAATAAGTCAATGCATATTCCATTCTTTGTATTTATTCAAAAGCAGAAAAAATAAACAAACTTTTTGAAATTAAAATTCTTGTGCATCATCACTAAAATGTGTTAACAAACAAATAAATCACAAATCTGAGATCTACTGACAAAAAACTGTCCTACCCTAAAGACTACTTATTTAGGTTAAACGAAATAACAGATAAAAAACAAAACATTGAGATATAACATTTTTCAATAAAACCATAATATCTTGAACCTAATTAACGTTAATGTTGATCACACGGTCTAAAATTTAACATTTTTCACGACTTTGCTATTCCTTTTATCATGGTACCCACTAATAATTAACTCTTCGATGTTTTTTTCTTTCTGGTGCATAAAATATTCTTTACAGCTATCTTTATGCATGCCGGATCTCTCATGCTCAAATATACGCTGATATACAAGTTTCCATTCAGTAAATTTTTTAAATACACTTTCCTTTGAAATGTGGCTAAATGCCAGGCAAATTGTACAAATAAAGCTTCATTCACAACCAGCCAATTACAATTACAATTATAATTAGTACTTAGAATTAATATTAGACATAGGGCGAAAATTAACGTATTTTGATCATTCAGAGCATTGAATTCTAGTGAAAATTCATTTACAGTGATGGTCAAGCATTTCTCAATACCCAAGTGATTAGTGAACCCAATATTTTTCGCCGGAACGGCGCATTTCTTCTCGAAACATAGTTTATTGCACAATAATAATTTAAACAAACAAATTTAATATAAACAAACATTCACCATATTTAAGGTTAGGTGATTTGTCATTTACTCATTTCTTTACAACAATGACAACAAGCGCGCACGCGCAAATATTTTTCAATTACAATTAGTGGCAAAAGCTTAGACTTTGCAAGGTACTAATTCTAAGTGTTAGTCTAAGTATAAGTGGAAACGTTAAATTAAAAGTTGTGAACAATCATGTATAAAGTCACATGCCAAACTTTTACCACTAATTCTAAGTACTAATTGTAATTGTAATTGGCTGATTGTCAATGAAGCTTTAAGCTCTTTTTGAAGATGAAAATGTAAGTCATTTTTTTGAGGATTCATTGAAATGATAGAAAGCTTTTTGGATGTTAAAAGATACACATTTTGGTTTCATGGTTGTTTTGGGTGGTACCTAAAAAATAAATTTAATTCATCAAAATTTGGCTTGAAAAAAAATTGTAATCGAATTTGGTGCTTTGTCAAACTCATCAGCGTTTGTAGTTATTTGTAGAGCGACTAATCCACTTGGACTGTCTCTAGAATTTTGCTAATATTTTCGTCATATTTTTGTTCTATTACTGCACTAGGGCCTGCGGCTCCAACTTCAGCAATATGGGTTTCGTTGTTATTTTTGCCCATTTCTTTTTCTTTCATTAATTGTACCATTTTCTCTAAAGAATTACATTTTTACCTTCTAGTAATTTTTTTTCGATCCTTTAATTTTTCTGCACCTTCTTTATGCTTAGTAGCAGTATTTTTATTGTCCATTATTTAATTTTAACAAACACTTTGAAGCAGTTAGATTTTTCCACCCCGTTTTCCTTTATTCGTAGAATAAACTTAAACAGTACCTATCGAACAAAAAGGCAACAAATTGCCATTCCGCGCAGTACAACATAAAAATAAATTGTAGCCGCGTATCGCGAGATCATGCGAGAAATATGGAGGTGACAAATTAGAATACGACAAAACACAGTGTGCGTTGCATTTATAATTTTAGTTGTAAATAGTTTGTCGAGTTGAGAACAATGTTTTCCTGTTTGATACGTGACATTTTGCTAATAGAAAAGAGTTTGGTGAAACTAAAAATTTTAAGAAACCTAAAAAATAGGTGCAGTATAGTAAATACTCATGTAATATATAGCAGCAGGTTGACTTATAGTGAATTTCATCACCTGTACCCTCAGTTAAGAGCGGATGAATCTGCATTTCGCCAATATACTAGAATGACAATAAATACCTTCGATTATATTGTGCAAAACATATAGGGTGTTTGTTATCATTTTACAACAAATTTTCCGTGCTTTCAGCTAGAGAATCCCATTCTTTTTCTACTGTTACCCGATCTTTGTAACTAGAATTTCTCTTATTCCACAGTACATTTCTTTTGTGCACTTCAGAAATAAACGGTTCCATGCTGCAACTCGGACGCCAAATGGGTAAAAACCAAACTCATTTGAATATCAATCCAATGCGTGCGATGTGGCAGACGAACTCGTACTAAACATTTGTTTACAATGGTTTATTTGCGTGGACCATCGCATTACACGCACCGCATCGCACGCATCGGATTGCCCGGATTCAGCTAGGACACTGTGTTAGTTTATATATACAGTTTCATGCAATCAACTTGGTATAAATAATAAAACTAGCACATTATCTAAATAAGTGGAAAATTTTGGAATCAGATAAAACATTCTGCATTTCGTTAGGCCTTATTTAAGTCCACTCTCAAGAATTTTTATATGGGAATATAAATAGGAAAATATTAAGAAATGTTCACAGAACTATATTTTGCTTTTATTACTTTCAGCAGGGTTCAGGATCTGGGGGAACGTATCCCAACAACAAAACGATGCCTCCTCCTGGACCCCAACCACCAAGACGTCATCCTGATTTTTCCAAAGATCAGCCGTATTCGTATGGTCAACCTCGAACACCAATATATGGTAAGTATTAACAGGAACCGTAAATTATGAAGTTGCCAATACGTTTGTGTGTCTTACAGGTAGTTGGCCCAATAACAATCAGTATAGGCCACCTCAATATGGGGGTAATTCAGGTAGTCCCCAAGTTACGCCACAACAATGGAATCAAGGGGGAAGACCAGGAGGTCCTTGGCCTGGAGCTCAAAATTATCAGCAACCGCAAACCGGACAACCTCCTTGGCCGTCAATGAACCAGACTGGCGGGCAAAACACTTCGATGCGTCCCGTTCACAGGCCAGGAAAACCATTTCCACCTATAATGCCACCTAGTGGTGTTAAAAGTAGTCAGGCTCAGCCTAATCTTAGCAACTCTTATAGTCACAATCAGATGCCCAAGAGAGAAATTACGTTCCCTCCTGACAGTGTAGAAGCTACGGTACCAGTTTTATATCGGCGTAAGCGGTTATGTCGCGCGGATGTAGGACCAGTAGATGCTTGGCGTGTTATAATGTGTTTGCGTTCTGGTCTGTTATCAGAGAGCACCTATGCTCTTGACCTGCTCAATGTACTGCTCTTCGACGACTCGTCAGTTGGGTATTTCGGATTGAATCAGTGGCCTGGACTGCTGGACCTTCTGATAGAACATTTCAAACGTAGTTTAGCAGATATGTTCGATGGGCCATTTCCAGCTCAGGAAGAAGCAGATACTGCTGAAGTGGACCTTGGTGGAGTTTTTAAACCCATAGACCCCAACTTGAAAACTGTAGTACTGAACAATACGGTTAATTACTCGTTGATGTCACGCAAGGGAGATCCAGTGAAGTTAGTAGAACGAAACGAAGATATCTTTATTCAAGATAACGTAAAAGATTGGGATACGAGGGGCGACGCGAACCGTGCTAATATTTTAGCAGAAATACCTTCAGAACCATGGTACACCGCCGCCGATCATATATTACCTACATTTCAAGCTGAGTTTGGTCACATTCCTTTCCATATGAGATTAAATGACTGTAAAAAATGTCAGGACGAGACAGAAAGGAAGATTAAGACACCGCCGCCAGGTGAAGCTCCACCACCAGACGAAGCTCCTCCACCTGCCAAAAATAGTGACAAAAGACGTAGGACAAAGTCATTAAGTGATGTGATATCTCGAATTAAAAAGGATTCTTCTGAAGCAAACGATGTGCTTTTGTTAGACGCAACAGACAAAGTAAAGACTGAAGTAGTGAATGAAAAAGCGAACTGTAAGGAACAGCCAAGTATAGATCTGAATATTAGTGTAAATGGCGAGTGTAGTGAAATGAAAGGACAAACAGTGCTTGATCCGTCGGGGGCATTGAAACGACGAAGAATTTCTGACTACGAGGACGAAGCTTACACAAGAGACGAGGCTAGTTTAGTTCTTCTAACTGAAAGCCAAGATAATATTGGAAAACGGTGTGTTTGCTTATCCAATATTCTTAGGAGTCTTACTTTTATTCCTGGTAACGAAGGTGAATTTGCCCGAAATTCTATGTTTTTGGCACTTGTAGGCAAACTTCTGTTGCTGCATCATGAACATCCACCTCGAACTCAAAAAACAAGAAATTATGACCGAGAGGTAAGTCAAGTTTTATTTATTTCTGTTAAATATTAAATTGGTGCAAAAATAATGGTAAACAAGTGAAATAATTTCTGGAAACATTGGGAGATAGAAAAATGTGGGATTTAAGCATGGAAACTGATGCATCTCTGGTTGCCTATATTATACCGAAATGTAGTAGAAAACAGCACTTTTTTATTCCAAAATATCCTTTTAAAACGGTGGAAAAAAAGTAGAAAAATTGCATATCCCATTTAGCAAAGTATGAACGAAGACCAATAAAGCAAAAATTAATTGGGACAGGTAAATAATTTATGAGAAATTAATTTCTACATATGAAGGTTTTTTGGACTTTCACAAACGATTATTTCTTCATAGTATAGGATTATGCAATTTTTTATATAGTTGTCTTTTAATAAATAAACTTAACTAAATAAACTTTATTTCATGGTTTGTCCAACACTTTATTTTTTAAAAAGTTATATTGGAATAAAATTGTCAAAAAATATTCATTCATAAATCACATTATGTCTGACCTTTAGTTCGCTTAATTGGTAATAAATGTCGCACTAGTAAAAATTAATTTTTGGACGAACTCGGGTTATTTTTAACAAACAGCTATGTGGTTATTATTGTGGTTAATTTGGTATAGAGGTAGATATTTAAAGAAAGTCATGATCATTTCAGGTATATTAATGTATAAAAGTATATAACTAACAGTGCAAATCCAGACTATTTTATAATGTTATGAAATATACCAATTTTTAGTTTATTTAAAACAATTTATAATTTATATACCTATAATGTCCACTAGTGATGGGAAGATCCATTTATTTTCGCGACCCGGGTCATCCAGGTCAATTATTAAAATGATCTGTTCATGAAGACCCGTTTATCTGAACGATAACGAAATAGTATCGAATCCAGTCTGTATTGCGGCAGCTAATATCTTCCTTCACCTGCACGTGCACTATTGACTTTTGATATATTTATGACCATATATTTTTTATATTTGTAAATCATGTCAGAAAATGTAGGTATTGCTTATGCAAAAAAAAAATAATAGGGATATTGTGAGGAGCTTTTAAAGGCGCCTATACTATATCTCAAATTTAAAACAATTTTTATTTTGTTTAGTTTTATAACGGCAGTCTTTGAGGCATATTCGCAAAATGAAAACAAAAAACTGGAGCATGGAAATTTGTTTACTGAACTTACTGTTGATGATAAGGCAAAATGCAACTTTTGTTCCAAAATGATGTCTTTTAAAGGAGGAGCAACTTATTATTAATTAAACATTTCTTTATATGACACCGTTTTTATTAAAACTATATCAGTCAAATCTGATTAATCCGGCACGATTAAAAACCTAAGAGTGCCGGAGTACTGGAAAATTTGAATTAATGGAATATGTATAATGTAAATAGTATTAAATTAAAAAACATTACCTTTAATTGTTTATTAACAAAGAGATTTGTACATATATATACATATTACATTTGTGTGTGCATATATTGTAGTTTTTACTCTTCTGTAAAATAATCTTTCAACTAAACTATAACTTTATAAACTGGATTCTTCATAGACAGTAGACATACACGGAAAAAATAACACCGAATTACTGGACATGGCGGTATAATGAAGTGCCTGATTATAGAGATTCTACTGTACCTACTTTTACTTTTATCATGTTAATCTTGTCAGTAAAAAACTGGAATTTCGTCTCCTTCATTCCATTCAGCACCATAATTTGATTGTATAAATAATGATTTTTAAATTATACATATCGCTGTACAGTGTCCAATATTCAGATTTTAGATCACAAACAGACAATACTGACTTACAGAGACCGATACCAATATCATAGAGTCGATCTTTTGTAGCTTTCATTTTGTATCAGTACCAGCTCTCCAGTTCAGATCTGCAGGCACTGAGTTTGCGTTCAAATGAACGATGCGCAATAGGATCACACAATCGGGTCAATCACGGATCTTTTAGAAGATTCGGTCATTATGACTGGATCGTTCATGAATGACACATCACTAATGTCCACGTTTACAGTGGATGGAAAACATTTTTATTTTCAATTTTACTAGAAAAAGTTATTCTTGACAAAAAAATTTGCTTGTTAATAGAATATGGTTGTCATGAAGAATGCAAAGAGTAAGACCAAATTCCATCTGTGTTTCGTGTACCACTGCGAAAATGTGCTACCAAAATAAATGCGTCTTGTTCTGGTGTAAACGGCATTTTTACACAAATCTACAAGAAATAAGACAGTAACAAATGAAACATAACCTTAAAATATTTGTTTAACACGTTAAAACGTCGAACTTTCAAGTTCTGAAAAGAACTTTTTTTCCAACTCGGCAAAGATTAATTTATAGAAAAGCACAGAAATACTGGTAAACACTGCTAAATTGTACAAACAAGAACAGGTATTAAACACTAAAAGTTATGAACTCCTCTGGATTGATGTTTCATCTAGGGTCTTAGTTGGTAAATTTTTCTTGATAATTTCTGAAATGTCAGCTTAAGAAGGACAAATTTATTGAGCGTCAAAATAAATTTGATCAACTGGGACTCGGACATTTATGAAGCCACTGTATAATTATAATGTATATAAATTTAAATATGTATTTTTTACCAAAAATAGTAAATGGTCACCAAATTTTAAACCACAGAATAATCCTGAAGTAATAACCTAAGTATTTGGTTTTCTCTCCCAGAAATACTAAATATTCACCAAATTTTAGAAGATATCTACATGTGTGACATTAATTCCAGTGCTTTGATGCAGCGTCAACCATTTCATCCCACCATCAAAATTCCTAGTTATAAATTTATACCCCAAAATTATTTTATTACCCTTGCCCATTATTAATTATAAGCGATCAACCTAGGTTCAGTTTGAAACTACATCAGCCACATGTAATTTTTGATCTACTTATGATAGGTAGTTTTCTTGTACGAGAATTTTTCTATATAAATAAAAAGTTGTTTTCGTAACTTCCCCAGAGGTCTGAAGAGTTGCTTCAGGTTTTTGTTGCTTTCAAAATAAATAATTTTTCAGATAAAAGATATTATAAAAAAACAAATTAAAGTAGAGACTAATAGACTATTGATTTTATATCTGCATGACAGAATTACAGGGACATTATTATTTTCTTAGGCTCTTGACACTAGTGCTTTCACACTGGGAACAATACAATATTTGTAATTTTTTTCTGTTCTGTGTCTTCCATATTGCTAACAAAATTCGGTATCTTAACGTACTCAATCGAAAATTAACAGGCAACTAAAACCTGACTACCCGACTGACTAACACACGTAAGCATGCGGTGACGTCATACCCGCCGGTTCAGCGGATACTCAGCGCGCCAGTTATAAAAGGTGATATAAAATTCAAATTTTTTGCAATGAGCCTTAAAATTGCAATATCTTTCCGTTAAGCGAATAAAAAAAAATTGTACATAAGATTTAGCTTTATCTTTTTATCTTTATAAAAAAATTGTGAGAACCAAAGTTTTAGGAATTTGTTTTTTTTATATACATACAGTGTGTTTAAATTTAAATTTCCTTGAAAATAGTAAGGCCCAATGATTTTTAGATTTAAAATGCCGCGCCAAATATTTACCTATTGCTTTTTGCATTGTATAACCACATTCTAATATTTTGCGAAGAAACAATACCATTTGTAGCTTCATCAGTGTACAAAATATTTTTCAAAAAACTTGTATTTAAGTACATACCTGAAGCCATAAACAATATTTCATTCTTCTTTCTCTGTCTCCTATTTCTAGACTGTGAAGAAGTTTGGGTTTGTATGCCCGTCTCATTTTTTTAAACATCTCCAAATTCGATTTCTAGATATATTTAAATTAATGCTGGCATCTCTAATGCTCGACTGCAGATTTTCATTAAAATAGTTAAGAATTATTTGGTTTATATGAAGCACACGATTACGATGTTGGTTGGGAAGTTTACCTACACTTCCAGTTTCATCAAAAACTTTATTAATAGTCACAACTGTAGTATGGTGAATATTTTGTCCAGGATGCCTCCTATTAATTTCACGAAATGATCGTATTCCATCACCTACCAATCGCACAATTTCTGTTTTTTCTTGTAAAGAATAATTAACCATTGTGACGTTTTACTGAAGTTATTGTTAATGCAGTGACAGCTTATTTGTTGACAAGTTACATTGTTTGTTTCCATAGCCTTCTTCATCAATCCTGTGCTTCTCTTAAATAATCAAATACATAGCTGAGGAAGTATTAATGTTCAAATTAGATTTTGCTTTCACAGGGTGTTGTATAAAATTAAACTATAATTTTTTAAACTGAAGGTTTATGTAGCAAATGCATTATTTGAATATTTATATTTTCACTAAATAGTTAATAATTGAAAATCCTCAATGAATTTTCCTATTAAATAAATGTTTAATTTTTTTCTCTTTGTAATAATAACAATAATAATAATTTTTCTTTATTACTAATAAATTGAATAATACTGATACAATATTCAAATAATGCATATACTTCGTAAGTAAAAATTAAAATATTATATTATATAAATATTACAACAAAAATCGGTATGGTAGGGTTTTAGATAGTCCTGAATAAGAATCCGGTGCAGTTTTTGTCAAAAAAAAATTGCTAATATTTCTCGTTTTCTGTTCCTATAAAACGTGTCTTGGTTGGCCATGACTTAGACCAAGGGTCCGCAACTGGCGGACCGCGGTCCAGGTCCGGACCGCGAAAGGTAAAATATTGGACCGCCAAAAATTTTTTGAAAGTATAAATTACTCAAATAAATTATTTAAAAAATGTTTTTTACGTTTAAGTGCCAATCTTATCATTTTTTTCTAGTATTTTACAATTGTGTGTGTGTTTTGACTTCTTATTGGTTAGTAAGCAGATTAAATTTGAGTCCAAATAAAAAAATAAGAAATATGAATTTTTTTTCTGGACCTCGTTAAAAATTTTCAAAAGTTTTTGGACCCCACCTAAAATTACTTGCCGACCCCTGACTTAGACCATGAAAATACCGAAATTATACATTCTACTCCTTTTTGAGATCTATCAAACAAAAAAAAGTTGAAACAAATCGGTCAACAAATAACAATTTTACGTGGATGGTTAATGCTTAAGTGGGACACACTGTATATAAAAGCCCTTCAAATTACAGTAAAAAAAAAAGTTTTAGTTATGTTTCTCGAATAATAAGGAAGATATGGCTAAAAGAATACCATAAATACTGTGTGTAGATAGATTTAATTTTTTAGGAATCTAATATATACTTATGACAAAAGTAACAAGTAATAGAAAAGAAGTAAGGAGATAGAATGTTATGTACATATTTCTATTCCTTTTTTATGGACAATACAAAACTTTTAGATATTTTTCTGAATTGTTTAATGATTAAAAAAACAGTATTTAATGCGTTAGTTTACTATATCAACAGCTTTTGTTTTCTTTTTTTTTTTTTTCAAGCAGTAGTACCTACCCAAGTTATTTTTAGTGAACATATTTTATGTTACACGATTCAAAGTTACATTAACTTTGTTTATACGTTCTAATTACATATTAACTTTTTTGCACTTTTTTTAATATTGTTTGTATAATTTGACACAAGGAGAAAATATCTAATGTTTATACATACATACAGTGTGCATCACCCAAATGGAATAAATTCAATAATAAATAAATGGGGGCGTGTTCGAAAAAACGCTCAGACACGTCGATTGGTATTTTTAGTTGCGCATTTTTTTCAACAAAAACATTTTATACAGGGTGTGTCATGTAACTTTCTTGTTTTAAATGCAACACCCTGTATATTCAATTTTTGGATTTTTCAGAAAATTCTAGATATATTTCATGTACAGTTTTATACCTAGCTTCAACTGTTTCGGAAATATTAAATGTTTTCAGATTTGTTGCGGTGCGGCGTCGGCGTTCGCGACGAGCATTTTGAACATCTACATTGGCATTAATGTTTTTTTTTGCTTCTTTACATTATCAAATAAATAAACAGTATTACTTATTAGTTTTTGAGTATATTGTAGGGAATTTCTGTAATCAAATAATTTTCTTTTTTTTTTTTGTTAATTTTTGCAATAAATCTGAAAACACTTCATATTTCCGAAACAGTTGAAGAAAGGTATAGGACACTGTACATGAAATATCTCTAGAATTTTCTAAAGAATCCAACAATTGAATAATATACAAGGCACAAATGTTCTTCTGTAAATTTCTATTCATTTTCTTCTGAACTGGACTAGCTAAATCTAGTAGAATATTATTTTTTCTAGACCTTTAAATAAATGTTTTTACATGATGTAGAATTTCTTTTACATTCAATTCTTTACTTAAGTGTATTTTAGAGGTTATGCAGTTGAGTGGGAGGGGGAGTAGAGGGAGATAAGAGTAAGAGTTTACTTTTATGATTATGATTATATAAACAAGTGATTTTACTTAAATTGTGCCTAAAAAATATTGTTTATATGATTCTGTACATCGGATGGTTTTACTACAATTTTAAGCATTTTTTAGTGTTTGGGTTGGGGGATTGTATATATTTTGCCTAGAATCGATTTAATATTGTTTCTGAAGGTCCAAAAAACATAGTCCATATGATTAGGATGAATTTCAGATATGGCCGAAAACCGGTAGCAAAATACCCAAATAAAGAACAATCTCTAACCACTCTATAAATGAATACTCTCATGGGATTAAATGTTAAATCATTTTATTGAAATGACATCTTGAGCAAACTAAATAAAACTTTGTTTTATTTAGACAGTGGCTTGATTTCTATAAAAATGTTGAGCAAAAAAATTGACGGCACAAAGTGTGTCTTGTATTTTAGTTTGTGATACATTTATGATAATTTTAAGAAATGTTGAATGATTTTCACACAAGGTATACCAGTTTTTAACATTCGATCCTGAAAAAATGTTTGTAAATATGGAATACAAACATATAATTAGCTAATAATTATGTTTATAATCCATCCTGAAGATATTAGGAGACAATTTAGTACTACTCTGTATAAGAAAATGTTTTTAATTTGATATTCTGTTGTGTTATGCCCTATCCCCTCTTTGGAAACTACTTTTTTTTGATTCCTCAAATAGAATTTTATTAATTTCTAATGAATATAAACGTACGTATACATCTGCGCGCCAAGCAACCCGCGCGGTGTGCGCGCTGCGCGTTCGTTGCTCGTCTAATGTTCGTTTGAACTATTCATTTTGAGGAACCTTCCGCGATCCAAAGAAAACCCACAAACATTTTAGTAGACATTTTGCATTGTAGATGATCATGTTTCTGTCACGCGATAAAAATTACGCCGTTTCGGTTCATGAATGGTCCTTTTTTGATAATGGCAAGTTTGTGTAAAAAGAAAAGGAAAATGATCTTTATGTTGAGGATTCCACAGAAGGGATTTCGCACCGATAAGCATCGATAAGTTTAGTTACATTTTCTTCCGACCACTCCATAATACCGCTGAATGGACGCACAGCAAGAACAACAAGCCTCTCGCTCTCCCGTCCAAATCTGTACTGCAAACACACAAAGCAACACTTTGAAAGCATTCGTCGAAAAAACCGACTCAAGGTGGATCGTGACGCGTCGTGTGCGTGCAGTTCGTGCGCAACTCGAAAACCCCGTACTAATCTAGAGAACTTGCTGCAAACGCGCGGCACGCAGATGTATACGCACCTTAATGACATCGTTGATATGCATATTATTTATGTAATCATTAAATATTAGTTATTTAAAGTAAATATTTTATGTTTTTCTTCTCTTTTTCAGGAGGATGCCGACTTTGCAGACTCCTGTAGTAGTTTACAGGGCGAAAGCGAATGGTGGTGGGACTTCCTGTTACAGGTTAGGGAGAATATTCTGGTGTCTATGTCTAATATAGCTGGACAAATAGATGTAGCTGTATTCGAAGAAGAAGTGGCCAGGCCTCTGCTGGACGGACTGTTACATTGGGCTATATGCCCATCGGCCACAGGTCAAGACCCTTTCGCTTCTGTAGGACCTTCATCCTTGCTCTCTCCACAGCGCCTAGCACTAGAAGCACTTTGCAAACTATGTGTAACAAATAGTAATGTCGATCTGGTCATAGCGACACCTCCATTTTCCAGATTGGAAAAGCTATGTGGTGTGCTTACTAAACACCTGTGTAGGTCGGAGGATCAAGTATTACGTGAATTTTCGATAAATCTACTGCATTATTTAGCTGCGGCCGACAGTAGTATGGCAAGAGTAGTTGCCTCGCAAACCCCTTGTGTTTCACTATTGGTGGCTTTCATTGAACAAGCAGAACAAAGTGCTTTGGGTGTGGCCAACCAACATGGTATTAGTGCACTGAGAGATAATCCCGATTCAATGGGTACGAGTTTGGATATGTTGAGAAGAGCAGCTGCCACTCTAGTTTTCCTGGCACGGCACCCTGAAAACAAACCTCTGTTAGTACAGCAAGAGTCACGGCTACTTGCCCTTGTTATGAGCCAAATCTTAGACCAACAAGTGGCGTTACTGCTCTCCAAAGTGCTATTTCAGATATCCCGTAGCTAATCCTTTCTACCTCTGTAGATACTGAACTGTCTATGCGGCCTTGCTGGTGTACAGAATAAATCATTGTATAGTGTGATTTTCCAGACTTTTATCACAATGACAGTGTGCGTGCGTGTGCGAGTGTGGTGCGAAAATTGACAACAAGACTAGAAACGAGATCCTGATCTCTGATAGCTAATCAATTCACATAGTGTAATCCATTATATAATTGTACCATTTTGTAAATTAAGTGACATACGTCTTTCTGGAAAATGTTAAACATACATCCATGTTACTTATGTTATTTATTATTTGATATAAACTTTGAGCACAGTACAGTAGATCCCAACAGCTGTCCAGTTGCCTGGTCTGGTGCAGGTGCAGGTGGTGTCCCCCTTTGGTTTCCTGCGCACTCACTTCTCTTATTTCATGTTTGGTATTACTGTGCGAATGCTTTATACATGTCTGATAATGAATTTAATTAAATAAATGTACAAAGGAAGTACCGAAAGTGGTGTTTTTATACAAGTTTTAATTTTCTATGTATATTTTAGAAATGTTTTATACATCCCATTTTAGCTGATACATTAAGCTCTGTTAATGAACAAGTATGGACTGTAAACATTAGAAAATGCAGTCTTGATTTATAGAACTCAAATGTAGTTTAAAATATGTGGTGATATTTTTCTGGCTGTAGGTATAACTCATCTTATGTATGATTGCATATTGTAAAATAAGTAAATGCTAAATACATTATAACTTTTTTGATTTATGTCACGAACCCCCAATTAAACTGGAATACGACTAGGGTAAAGTTACTATCGATTTGTCTCAGGTAAGTTATTGTTTCAAGTTATTTCTTAGTTAAGTTTTTTCTGTACTTATTGCAGTATTTTATCGTCTGAGAAAAATTAATAAATTCAGTAAACCTTTGTGCCGAAAGGTATTGTTTTCATTAAACTGTTCCTACCGGTGGTGACTGGTGAATTTAAACAAGGTATATCTTAGGAATAATTTCTAGATCCACATACTGAACTGAAAAAAATTACCAAAAAAAAATTGTGTAATAAAATTTATGTTACTGACTGAGATCTTGCAAAAGGTTGTATTAAAAAATATTTTTCTATAACCATCTGATGAAAACAATCAGGTGATCTTGTATTATTCTCACAAAAAGTCAATGTTGTACTAGGACTCGTAAAAAAGGCCACTGTTTATAACTCGACCATTTTATAACCAACTTTGAAAAACAAAATATAAACTAGCATTAATGATTCTAAAAATAGTACATATTGAAATGCCTACCTTAATTGTAGGTGTTTGCCATTTTTTTTAATAGAATGGTGTGTATGTATACATATAGTTTCATGTGATAGAAGCCAGACATATAACTTAGTTTTTACATAAAATTTATGGGAAAAATTCGAGTGTTTCAATAAAATAAGTGCTAACATGTTTACATCTTTAATCGTGTGCATGAAGTTTATTATAAAATCAACAAAAAAAATCGATTCATGGGATAAACATAAAATTTTTTTGTTAATATACATTTCATACAAATGCGGAAATATGCTGCTGTCACGTAACACAATAATAATGTGTTCTAACATTCAATGACATTTTTCTTTAGATGGCTTTATTACTTACGTTGCATATTTGACAGTCCTGTTGGATTGCTCAATTTAATATTTTGCATATATTCCCCTTAGATTTTTCGCGAAAATCAAGTTATATGCCAATTAATTAAGAAAAAAAACATCACTTTTTTGCTTATCATTACGGTTAGACAAAAAAATACGCGTTTCTAGTACCTTTTGATAAATTGACCAAAATTGAGTTGCAGCTTATGGCATTTTTTATGAAATTTCAATTGTGTTGGATGAACATGAGAAAAATATTGTAACAGTATAGCCCCATGTTTAATTATTAAAAAAAATCGTTTTAATTTTCACTAGCCATCACAGAAGTTTGCCTAATCAAAAAGTTGTTAGTTCACAGACTAATTTGTGATGTGTATTTATTTATTTATTTTTTCCGTGTGAAATTTTTGGTTACGAACAAGTAGTTTTTTAACACAAACATTCCTGCACTGTTCCTTTTGGTGCAAATATCCAAATAAACATATAGTGAGATAAATTCTGGTAGTGTTTAATGTTATTTTCCAGGTGACGACCGTCCAAGGTTGTAGAAAAACCATTTATAATAATAAAATATGTGCCGACTAAGAAAGCTGTTAAATTTTTCATCATTAAACTTAATTAATCAGAAAATAAAATAGTAAACTAAATATGATTTGCAAAAATATTAAATTATACCATCTAAAACTAACGACTATAGTTTACATCTGAGGTGCTCAAAGTTTTCACAATTAAGGCCATTTTTATAGTGCAGAGGAATGAAACCCTCTAACAATATCAGATTGTCATAAGGATTCAGATTGTTTTAGGCCTTTTAATCAAAATTGAACTTAACGTAAAAATCAACTGAGGTGACAAGATTGACCACCCCTGTTATAAAAATATCCCGTTTTTAACTAGCAAATACAGTTTACGGCATTTGTAATTTATTTTAACCAATATTGAAACTGGTTTTATAATAGACTAGTAGTAAATATAATGATCATTCATATAAAAAGTACAGCATATCTATTTATGAGGAGCCCAACAGCATATGTCCATGAGACATTCCTGTCGACATTCAGAATAGTCTTATTTATTGTTCTAGTCACATTTGTTTTAAAATTTGCTAATGTACAATTTTTATTGCCTGCTTGTACTTTTTTTAATAGTTTTTAGAAACTCGGTAAAAATTTTGTGTATCATGGAATTTAGAAAATGATTTATCATTTATGATGTTAAAATTACCCATATTGGCCACACCCTTAAATATACACACGATTTCTATGAACCGTGTTCTCATTTTCAAGCAATACAATTATTAATGTGTTTAAAAAATTAGGTAGGTATATTCTGGGTCGACTTTATAAGGTGCGTTTTGTTGGATTGATTCCGGAATTGAATTATGCAGAATGGGCGTTTTATTGCAAGGATATTCTGCATCCGGTTGCAATTTTTGCTTGTGGTTTGAGACGGAATTATTAGAATTAAATGGTGGGGAGATCAAATTTGTGAGGTTGCTTAGGTAGCTGGTGTAGCATTGGGCCGTTGAGATTCGGCATCTGTCTAATGTCAGATTTGATTCGAATCGTTTTATTGATAAATGTCATTCAAAAAAATCCAATAAGAACTGACACCAGTGACTATTACATCAGACGGAGAAAAGTGTAGTTAGTTCATCCGTTTCATATCAAAAATATGCTTCAGTGCAAAGTACACCGTCATGTACCAACAATAATATAGTGCCTGTATAAATTGCTCTGTACAATTTCTGAAAAGGTAAGAAGTAAGAACTGAAGTACGGAGAGTAATTTACACTTGCAAAAGAAATTGAACGCGTACGCTTCTTTACCCGAATTTGACACGCAATATGTCCGATGTCTGTACCAGGGAGACTATATAGATAAGGAGCACAAACTCATACGGGAAAATTGACAAAATTTGTCCAAGAAATGGCAGAAGTTGGGGTGGCGCTAATGTTCCATATGTCCCAAATGAATGTAGCATAATAAATACGAGTGAAGTAAGCAAATAACGACCAATTTTATTTTATATTGAGTTTAGTCTGTTTAGTAGATATATCGAGGAGGTATATTAACCTAAAAACTAGAAGTCAAGTCAATAATTATTACAATTTGTTTTTATAATGGTAAATAAAAAGTTTCGAAAATAATTTAAATATGGTAATAGTATGTGAAGTGAATGACTGTCAACAGATTTAAAATAAAACAGTACGTTTGTGATCTGCATTTTCAATCTAATGATGTCCAGCAGTTCTATATTACAACTTGACCGAATAGTGGGTTAATATTATGGCAAAAGGTCGAATAATTCGGAAGTTGGAAGCAGCTTATTTGATTCTTAATAGAGAAATTTTTAAATAGAAAGATTTCATAAGAGCAAATATTGTATAATTGAATGATGCATTGTTTCTTTATA